GACAGACAGCCCATGGCTGTCCAGGAGGTGCCCAGACTCCAGGCCAGGTTCCCAGGAGTGCTGGCGACAGTGGCAGAGCCGGGTCTTAAAAAAGGCTCCGTGTCATGCTGCAATCAGCCGTGGCCTCTGTGTCTGTGCAGGCGGCCATTCTCTGGGGGCCAGTGGGGGCCGCACCTCCCCACCTCAGCCCCCCTGTGTGTGGGGGGTCAGGGTGCTGGGTGGACACATCTGCCACCACGCTGCTTTCCAGGACCTCGGCCCCGATGGGCAGCCCCACCGTGGCCATCAGCAGGCACATTCTGACCTGCCCGTCCCCTCCAGCCCAGCTCTGAGGACACCCAGCCCTTCCACCAGCTCTGAGGAAAAGGAGGGGGAGCCAGGCAGCAAGCAGCAGAACGACAAGGTGGCCCTGCCACCAGGGAGGAGGGAGTCACACCTGGCGTGAGAGAGAAAGAAGAGGGTTGGAGCAGAAATCAGAGCCAGCGCAGGGGAGTGGGCGCCCGGAGGACGCCGCCCGCGGCTCCCCAGCAGCCTGGGCTCACAAAGGACCTTTTGCACGGTTTTCCCTGCTGCTCCAAACCAGCTGCTCGCGCTGCTGGACGCTGAGTGACGACGGCTCTGAACGGCTTTCTGGGAACAGATGGCCGGGGAGAGCTGGGGAATGTGCCAGCGCAGGCCGGGCAGGCTGCCAAGGCCGCGGTGACGGAGGGCCTGGGCTTCCAGCTCGCGTGCTTTCCCCTGCCCTCTGCCCTCCGTGGCGCCAGCAGGCCTTCCCAGCCAGCGCTGGAACATCTGGAGTCTGGGCTGCGGGGGGCGGGGGACCCGCTGTTCCCAGCTCCCCGCCCGGCAGCCGCCTCGCAGCCCCGCTAATCAAAACCACAGGCCCAGCCGAGCCAGGCCCCAGCTGCAGCCCAGGCCGCCCGCCGGGTGACCGACCCGGTGTCAGGCCTCGCTGGCGGCCCAGCCCTGGGGGGTGCCGATCGCGGATGCCTCGCCCACCCCTCTGCCGCCTGGGCTGCTGGCTCCGGCGCCTAGCCACCGAGTCTCCGTGCCGCCTGGGGCTGCTTACATAAGGGTGGGCATGTGCTGGGACCTCCCGGGCACAGGCCCAGGAGCAGAGGAGCCGGATCTTGGAGCCCAGGAGACCCGAGGCCTCCAGCACACACTGGAACCCAGGCCCTTGCAGTCAGGGCCTTGAGAACACGGCACCTTAGCCCCACTTACAGGGCAGCACAGGTTAGCGCTGCAGTGCTAGAGAAGACGCAGCCTCCACTCAGAACCTCAGTCCTCATTGCCTCCTGGCTGGTCAGCACCTGTCCCCCTCCAGGCCTACCCTCCTGGGTTCTGCCTGAATTTCCAGAAATTCACTGAGCCTTCCCAGCCCTTCCTTGTGTGGACCTCCTTCAGTCCTCTCATAGTGTGGCAAGGAAGGTGTATGTGTGCACTCCCACTTCACAGATGAGAGCCGGGTCAGAGAGTTCACTAACAGGCCCAAGGTCACACAGCAAGAAGTGCCAGTGCTGAGACTGCAGTGCAGCTGTCTGGACCCATGGCTCTGCGGTTCCTTTGTCTCCTGATTCTGCAGAGGGCCTCCTGGTGTAGGCTCATGTCCCTTGAGTGCTCCAGAGATCTGAAGAACCCCAGGGCTCTCTGGAACCAGCTCCCACCCCATAGGCAGCCCTCTCCAGCATACCAGGCCCAGTGCTACCGAGCCTGTGGCCTCCAGAGGGGAACCTGGCTCACAGAGGTGCCCGCGCTCCGCGCTCCGGGCTCCTAAGAGTGGTACAGGGGCAGCAGAGGGGCCTCCCATGCCCAATGGGCTTCCACTCCCACCCAGCCCTGGGGAGACGGTGGGGACCTGACTGCAGCAGGGGCAGCACCCCAGCCTCCCCCCCAGGGCGGCCCCGGAGAGGGCCCTGCTCACCTGAGCTCTTGGCTAATACCCTGCCCAGGCTTAGCAGGCCCTGCTGAGCATCCAGGTTTTATGACCAGAGGGCATGGGACGGAGTCTCCAACCCTCCTTGCTGCACAGCCTTGTGGGCATCTTGAGCAAGTGGGGTTCAGCTCAATCCCTCCCCACAGGACTTGGGAAGGAGACCCTCCTACCCACCATGTCCACGTGGGAGGCAGGCCCGCACCTGCTGGCTGGGTGACCCAGGCACATTCCCAGGCTCCCGGCCTCCGTCCACCATCTCCTCTGGGAGGCTGGAGGGGTCAGTGAGGCACACGGAGAGCCTGGCTGGTCCTGGTCCTGGATATCAGGTGTCACTGCATCCACAGGGCAGTGGACCCCATATGTAGCACCCGTGGTGCCAGAAGTGAAGTGACAGAGGCCTGTCCCTAAGGCAGAAAGAGGGGCTGAGCCCCAGCAAGAGGCAGCGCAGGAAGGCCACTCACCACAAGGTCCAGAGACAGCACCAGGAGCATTCCTTACCCCACAGAAGCAGAGGCCAGGCTGGACGGCAGTGGTTCTGCCTCCCACCCTCAGGGCCAGGAAAAGTACAGAAAGGATAGGCCTTCAGGCACCCCCGACTCTGACCCCTGGCTCCATGACCAACGTGCCCTGATGCAGCACCTGGCCTGTCCCCAGACGTTCTCCAAACACTCAGGCCACCTCTCCAGTCACCAAGGAGAGCAGCAGGGAGCAGAGAGGAGACTTAGTGTGACCAAGCTGACCCGCTGGCCACCAGCTGCAGATGCCACGGGTTGAGTACACACCTCCGGCCCCGAGGACCCCAGGCTGGTAGGCACCCGAGTCCCTCGCTGTTCAGCCCTGGCACAACCTTCGCCTCATGGCTCGTCCTGCCCCCACCCTGCCCAGGCCCATGGGCAACTCCAGGGCAGGGATGTGGTGACAGTTTGTGGCCAGGGCTCAACGCGTGCATGCCAGGAGGCCAGCAGCAACGCTGTGGTTCTGTAGTAGCCTCAGCGCGTGGACAGGGGTGTCCTGGGCAGCAGGATGCCGGTCCCCTCCCATCCCAAGTCCGGGCAGACTAGATGTGGGGAGCAAGTCTCGCCTGCTGCCCTCATCCTCAGACGCCCCAGGAGTGGCTGCGGGGACCTGCCCGGGGCCTGTGCAAGCTGCATGTCTCTGGGCACCCCTGCTTTCCAGGCCACCTCTCCTCCCGGCGTCTCTGCTGGGCAGCCTCTGACCACAGGGGCCTCCAACAGGGCTCTGACCCGAGTTGGCGTCCTGGGAGGCCCAGAGGGAGAGACCCCCCCCAGGGGGAAGACACGCCCCGTCCCCACACTCGTGGGTGTGGATTTGCAGCTACGAGGTCATCAGGGTGGCCAGCGATGGTGTCAGTGGCCTTCTGAGGGAAGCAGGGCCATGTGGCAGGCTTGGGATCTTGCCTTGGTGACTCTGGCCAGGTTAGGCGGTGGCCTGAGGCCTCACAGCTGCAAGCACTGCCTCCTGAACACCTGGCTGCAGAGCCTGAGCTCAATAAACCTCAGTTCTCTATAAACCACCCAGCCCACGGCATTCCGTCACAGCCTTAGAAAGCGGATTGAGACAGGCTGTCGCCCTCCTCACGCACTCTCACGAGCTCGGTGCCAACACAGATGCACTGTGGGCCCCCGGCTCATGGCGTGGCTCTGGCGGAAAGGGACAGGGATAAGCCAGCCCGTGGGAGTCTCCAGGGAAAGATAGGAGATGCCCTTGCAGCTCCAGGAGGCCATGAGGACAGCCTCGAGAGAAGCCGGAGCTCAGTGTCAACAGCCGGCAGGGCCAGGACTCTGTCCCAGGGCCTGCCCAAGGCCAGGGTGACGGGAGACCCCAGGCTGATCCAGACCAGAGAGGCAGAGCAGGCCCCTGGAGGAAGGGTCTCGTCTGGCTCCCCCTCCCCTGCAGGCCCAGCAGGGCGCCAGGGACCTCCCCTTCCTCCGGCCACCTGGGCCACCCCGTCACCTTTCCTGACAGCCCTGACCGCCTGTGTGAGGAGCAGCAACTCTCCCGTTGGCTTTCCCTTTCTCTCACCCCGGCCACTCCTGGTTCCCAGACACACCAGGCCCTAGTGTCCACAGCCACTGGGTGGCACAAAGCATGTGGCAAACTCCCATCCCCACTGTGCCTGGCACAGGAGGGTCCTCTTGGCTGCCACGGGAGAGAGGGAGGTGCCTGGGGAGCTGGAAGACCCGCACATCTTGCCCTCTGGGGGTGGACACCAGCTGAGAGGGTGCCGGGCAGGAGGAGGGTGTCAGGCCTCCCTGGGGCATGGCCTGATGGCATCTTATCCTGCCTCCAGGTGCTCCGCCCCTCACCCCACCTCTGCACAGCTTCCCACAGAAGCCGCCCCTCACATGAGGGGGAAAGACCCCATGGCTCCCCACACAGGGTAGGGGTCAGATGGGTGGCCACAGAGGAGGGAAATGAAGCCACTCACACCCAGGACACAAACGATGGGCTCCTGTCAGGCCACAGCAGCCCCGTGTGGGGAGGCCAGGGCCACCGGGACAGAACGCCCTCCACAGCTCCAGGCCCCTCGCTCCAAGTCCTCCACCCAGAGCAGACCTCTGCCCAGAGAGGCTCTCCAGTGAGCCTGGGGCTTCAGAGTGGTACACATGTCCCCAAGGCGCAGGGTGAAGGGGACAGCAAGCCAGCCCAGGGACATAGAGGGAGGCAGAGAGGGTGACAACTGGCAGTTGGGACTTCGGTACCCAGAAGGTGGTCATGGGCCTGAAATGGTGGCTGAGAGCCCAAAGGCTCCAGGGGCCACCAGGGTCCTGCTGGGAAGGAATCCGACTCTGGACACAGAAACAGCCACCCTGGGAGGGCTGTGGGGTCAGATCTCAACTGTGAGAGGATGGGGTCTGGGAAGGCAGCCGTTACAGCCAGCAGCCCCGAGGCGGGCCAGGTCAGCAGGGGGCCCTGGGGTCTTTCACAGAGGAGATGTGTCACTGTGGACGCAATCTCAGCCTGGGACCTCAAAGGCCAGGGCCAAGACAGTCGCACCCCTCCCCACAGTCAGCCGGCACCTCCTCAGAGCCGGGAGACTCACCAGGAGGCAGGAGGACCTCAGGCCTGGTGCAGCTCCAGCCCCCAAACCAGGGTTGGGGAGGCGAGGAGACAGAGGGGAAGAGATCCCGCTGGGACCCAAGGGCAGCAGGGCCAAGGCCGGAGGGTGGAGGGAGCGTGTGCACTGGCCCCCTCCTGCCAGACACCCCGCACGCGGGAAGGCGGGCCTCATCTGCAACGTGGCCGCAGGCGAGCATTCCCAACATCCCTGTGGAGAACAGGGGAGAACAGGGACGCTGGCAGGGCCAGGAAACAAATCCAACTGCTAGGACCAGAGCCAGGACTTCCAGGTGCACTGAACCATCACCCGCCACCTCAATCTCTCAGTGAGCAGCATGGGGGTCTCTGAGGATCTTAGAGCTGAGGCGATTCCAGGGGCAACCATGCCCAGGTCTGCTGGGCATCTTCCCTCATCCCTGGACATCCAGCCTCCATCTGCCCAGGACCCCATGGCTCCAGGAGGTGAGGGGCCAGGGGAGAGAGGGCCCGCTGCGCTGCCTGTGCTGCCTGTGCTGCCTGTGCTGCCCATCCACAGCTCTGGGACGTCTGAATGCCGGGCTGAGCACCCAGAGCTCACAGTGCCCACGCCACCTGCTTCCCCAGGGGAGAGGCTCTGGGCTTCCTCCCTCACGCACTTGAAGGCTCCTTTCTAATCAGCCCATGTGAAATCAACTCGGGATGCAGCCTACAATCACCTGGGGGACAGCTGGGGGCCTGGGAGTCCTTGAGGACTTCCTGCTGGACCCAGAAGCCTCTGGAAACTGGGGGATCCAGAGGGGGCTGCCTGCAGGGCCTGGGGGAGGCGCAGGCCAGCAGAAGGGCATCTCCTCGCAGACACACTGGGTCCACTCTCTGACCCCCTCCAGCACAGGGGATAGGACCCAGATGGTGGAGGGTCCAGGCCATCTGGGAAACCAGAGCTGTGCCAGCGGCTCACCTCCTGCAGATCTCCCAACACGTCAAGCCCCACACAGGCACTCCCTCTGCCCCAGTCCTGTTCCCCACTGCATCTGCCTGGTGGCCTCCGAGTTGTCCCCACGACCCCAGCTCAAACGCCACTTCCACTGGGATGTCCTCTGGAGCTCCCTTGGGAAGGGCCCCTCTCTCCCTGGTCTTCCTGGGCCCCCAGGACAGGCCACACTGTGCCACCCTCGCCCACTTGCAACAGGTCTACCAGCTGTCCTGTGAGCTGCATGGAAACCAGGACCCCACACTGGTCACCCTGGTACCCTCCTAGCTTGGTCAACACAGTAAACCTCCCCAGAACGCGTGGATGAGTATCGCTGGCCCACATGCACAGCCTCAGAGCACCCACAGGCCAGTCCCACTCCCGAGGTCAGCAGAGGGTCCCTGGGCTGTGACCTGCTTGGGGGATCTCCTCCCAGTACAACTGGCATCTAGCAGGGCTGCCGGAAACTCAGGACACATGTCACAGGGGCTCCAGGACAAACAGTCTTCCTCAAGTGAGGAACGAGAATTCAGGCCCAGACACCCCAGGTGATAGTCCAAGGCCACCCGGCATCTCCATCACCAGAGGATGGTCCCACCCACAGTCCCAGGTGGGGGATCCCTAGAGCCGGCGTGATCGTCTGCCCCATGGGAACCCTGGGCATACGTGGGGCCCCAGAGTTCTTGCCCCTGGGCCCGCCCTCCCCGGGGGCTGTGCCCTGCGGCTGGCGCCTACCTTGCGCTTCTTGGCACGTCCCTCGGCCTGCAGGGTGCGGGTGCAGCGCTGCACACACTCGGAGAAGCTGAGGTTGCTGTGGTCAGCACTGTAGTCGAGGTCTGCCAGGCGGGCCAAGGACAGGATGTAGTTACAGGCGATCCTCAGGATGGCCAGCTTGGACAGCTTCTGCCCATAGGAGTAGCACGGCACCTGGGGGCAGGGGAGGAATGAGGAGGGCCGCAGGACGGCGCCCCCACCCCACCCCTTGGCCTGGCAGCACAGCAGGGTGGCCATGGAAGGTTCGGCTGCGCCTCCACCCAACTCCATAGCTGTGCTAAGCACCTGGGCTCCTCTGCTGAGGAGCCCTGGGATGTGTCAATGTCCCATGCTGCAGGGGGACCTGAGGCTCAGCTCACCCCTCGTCAGTCTGAACAGAAGCATGGTGGTGTCCCCGAAGTATGGCATCACCTGACTGAGGAGCTGGGGACAGCAGAGCGGGAACAGAGGGCAACGCCGCGGGGGCCCCACAGCAAGACCCTCTGGTCCACACTCTCAGTAGTGCCAAGGACAAAAGTCCCTCTGCCAGGCCCCAAGGATTAAGCTTGAACACAACAGTGGCCTCACTGAGATCCACCTCAACCCCGCTTTGTCCAGCAGCGTTCCTGGACCTCGTCACGTCCGCCATACACCAAAAGGGGCCCCTGCCCTCCACGGTGTGCTGACAGCACCAGCTGTCCTCGGCTCTGGGGCTCTAGCGCTCGCTGCCCTGTGACCTGGGGAGGCCCTTGTCTGCAGAGCTCAAGGTCCTGGATGAGAGGGGAGGGGAGGGGGGATAGTAGAGGATAGGAAGGGCATCAGAATACAACAGACACTAGTATGGCAGTATGTAAAAAAGTGGATGTGGAACCGATGTGAATCTGCAATCTGTATACGGGGTAAAAATGGGAGTTCATAATCTGCTTGAATCAAATGTATGAAATATGATATGTCAAGAGCTTTGTAATGTTTTGAACAACAACTAATAAAAAAAGTAAAAAAAAAAAAAAAAAGAAAGAAGCATTCAAAAAAAATAAATAAATAAACTTTTGAAAAAAAAAAAAAACGTCCTGGATGAGGGAGTAAGGGACACATGAGTGGCCCTTCCACCTTCACCAGGTGGCTCCAGGAAGTTTGGAACCGGGTTCAAAAGTCTTTTGTCACTGATGATGCCACCACACATGCATCTCTGTCACTAGGGTCAACTCTTGACTCTCCCTCGGCCAAGTGGCATGCTCTGGGCAAGGGGCATGATCTCTTAGAGCTTCGGCTCTGCGTCACACCGTGAGCAGGTCTGCCCTCGCAGGGCGTGAAAGATTCAGTTCTCAGCGAGGCCTGGCAACAGTCAGCAGAATCACCACAGCCGGAGCTGCAGAGGTCCCCAAGGCAGCGGCGCCAAGAGGGCGCACAGCAACAGCCCTGAGCCTGGACATGACACTTGCCCAGCCCGATCCCTGGGGAACCTGCGACTAGGAAGCCAGGGCGGGGAGCAAGGCGACAGAGAGAAGCCAACTCTCCTGCGTCCCCCTCCCAGCCCTGGACGCAGCTCCAAACCCATCCAAGAAAAGCTGGCAGAACAATGTGCTTTGCTTGTCCCCGGCCCGAGTCCAGAAAATCCGACTTTATCAGCTTGAACAAACAAACAACACCATAGTCCTGGGCAAGGAAGGGGTCCCCGGGGCCAGCCCAGCACCTCTGCCCGCTCCTTACCCGGGAGGTGGTGTCTGCATGTGTGTGGTGTCAGAGGGGAGCAGGAGTGTCCAAGGACCAGGCGTGGCCCTATTGTCACCCAGAGGCCACTCTGGGAGCTGCCACTGCGAAGCCTGCTCTGTGCCCTGGGACCCAGAGCAGCTGGGCTCTACCCAGAGTCACTGCTGGACCACAGAGCAACAGGTGAGGTCAAGGTCAATGCAGGCAGGGCCCATGCCGGTTCTGGGCCACTTGTGCCCCAGATTTGTCACTCTGTCACCTTGCCCTGTCAAGCTCCAGGTCTAACCAGGAGAAAACAAGGATTGAGTCCTGGTGGACCTGGCAGCTATTCGAAGGTAGAGTGACCATTTAAAACCTGCCTGGGGGCTGGGGCTGCAGGTCAGTGATGAGCACTCGCCTAGCATGTGTGGGGCACCGGGTTCCATCCTCAGCACCACATAAAAATGAATTTGAGAAAAGGTATCATGTCCATCTATAGAAAAAAAATGCCCCCAGATGAAGACAGAAGTCCCATCCGCACAAAGGAAACAGATGACATGTGGGGCCCAGGTCATCAGATGAGGCTGGCAGGGTCCCGAAGCTTGTCTGACCTGAACCCAGAGCAGGGACCTGCCCAGGGCGGCAACATTCCCAGAGTGCTACGCCCCCGGACACTAGGCGACCTAGGACACCACCAGTACCTAGTGTCCCCGCACATCAGTCCCTGGGGTGAAGTGCCCTACTCAGAACCCTCAAGGTCCCTGTCTGTGAAAGACCTTTAGCATGTCCGTCGCCAACCTCCCCCATGGCCACAAGGCCACAACAACAGCCACTAATCCACGGCATCCTGGTTGAGGGCCACAGACGGGGCCAGACCGCCCTGGGGCCAGATGCTGGTCACTTGTGTCTGCTCTGTAAGTGTCCCTCCAGACAGAGGACAGGCAGCCGTTGACAGGCAATAATAATCCTGGAGGGCACCATGGAGAGAGGCTCGGCAAGCAACCCCCTGGCAAGCAGACATGGACGGGGGGACCCCATCTCTCACCCATCTGTGGAGCCCCTGCAAGCAGGCCTGTCCCCCACTGCCTGAAGGGGTGTCCCCCTTCCCCCTGTGGGACTGAGAAGTGAGGGAGGTGCTAAGCGGGGGCCACTCTCCTCATGCCCCCTGTGGTCCCACCCTGCGTCCACTCGGTGAGAACCCCTGGAGACTCCAGGAGCACAGGGGAAGTCGCCCGGGCCCTGGCTCGGCTCCTCCTTAGTGACAGAGGCACCTCCTGAGGGTCATGGCTGTCAGCCTTTGCTGTCATTCCTCTGTGAGGGAGAATGGACATCCACACACAGGCCAAGTGCTCAAGAGGCTCAGGCCCTGGCCCTCCCGCCCCTGCCCAGTAAGGCTAGGCTTTCCTCCACTGTCCCACTTGGCTGGGGCACTGCACCAGCCCAGCTGTGCACACATGGCCTTCACGGAGGCATGGACTGACCACACGTGCCTGCCACCTGCCACCCTGGCCACCCCCTCCTACAGTCTACCTGCAGCCCCCGCACAGGCACTCTTCCTGTTGGATGGGAAGCAAATCCTGTCCGGCCTCCTTGGGCTGAGGGTGGACAGCACCCAGGCCTCGGGCAGACGGAGGAGCAGAGTGGCAAGAGCAGGATGCTGGAGCAGCTCAGGGGCCGAGGTGGATCCCCCTGCAGGCCAGTAGCACGGGCTCTGCAGGCCGCCCTGTGTGGCGCCATGGAGGCCCCACACTGGAGTGTGAAAAGTGGCATGTCAAGGTGAGGCCAGGCCACTGCAGAGGCCAAAGGCTCACAGAAGCTTACTGGCCTCAGGTCACCAGGTGAGGGGGACACAGGGTGGGGTGCGGGACAGCGGGGCAAGTGACTTAAGTGACTCGCACAGTAAGGCGCTCACCGGGGCAGTGGGGCGAGCATCTCAGGATGGGTGGTCTCCACTGCTGTCAGCAAGGTGACTGAAGGACTCCTGCTGCAGGGTGACACCAGCCCTGCCAGCCCGGAGCTTGCAAACGCGGAGGAATGCGCTCTCCCTGCCCCTCTGCCCCTCCTGATTAACCCGCTCTTTGCAGAAAAGCTGTGGATGAGGTAAATCTTTGCACCATTCAGCAAATGAGGCTCAGAGAGGGAAAGCAACTTTCCCTCAGCGGAGAGAGCGGCGGAGGCCAGCTCCAAACCCACCTGGACTCCCAGACCAGTGCTCTTTCCACTGTTCCAGGAAACCATGCAGGGAAAGGAGCCCCAGCCCGAGCCCAGGGGCGGCCCTCATCAACCAATGCCCCAGTTCCAGCAGAGCCACCTCCAGCCTTCCCAGCTTCCCGGGTCCATTTCCGACACTGGGGGCTGGGCCTACATCCAAGTACCCTGCCCACTGGACGGGCAGGGTGGTGAGTGCCCGTTATAGACGGGAGACTGAGGCCACTTGAGGAAGGAGCTCCTCTGAGGCCCAGGGCCCTCCTCATCAGGCCAGTGCTAGCATGGTAGGGACATGCCCTCCTCAGACCATGGGCAGGTGTCCACTGCTGCTAAGCAGCCTTTCTAGGGAAGGGACAGAATGGTGGCAGCAAACAGCAAAGGGCTGGAGCAGGTGCTGCCGCCACTGTCGGCATGTACTTTGGATTCGTGATGAATTGTGCACAGGTTGTGCCTGACTACAATGTGTGCACACACTCACTTGCCCTGAGAGGGCATGGCTGGCCTTCTGACACCCTGAAACTGACCCTCCCACAGAGCCTCCCCACGAGGGCTGGAGTGAGAGGCCAGGCTCACACTGTCGGTCAGCCTAGCACCGTCCGCCCATGCCACGATGCCACGGCACTGAGAGCTGGCCCCAGGGGCATTCCAGAGACCACTGCTGTCTCCTCTAACCCACCAGGTGGCCTCAGACAAGTCTCCTCCCTTCTCCTGGCCTCAGCTTTCCTTTACATAAAATGGGTTCATCCGAGCCTGACAGGAATGGTGAGATCAAACAAGATGGTAGCCATGGATAATGGCCTACGCCTGGGATCCCAGCAACTCAGGAGGCTGAGGCAGGAGGATCACAAGTTCAAGGTCAGCCTCAGCACCTTAGTGAGACCCTGACTCAAAAATAAAAAATATAAAGGACTGGGTAGGTAGCTCAGTGGTGGAGCGCCCCTGGGTTCAATCCCCAGTACAAAAAAAAAAAAAAATCAAATAAGATGGAATTCACTGTCGAAAGACATGAAAGCACAGGTCGGATGAGGTGCAGCAGGCACCCGAGAGCATCTGTCCTCTCCTGGAAAGCGGAAGGCGGTGGGGGGCGGGAGGGCCTCGGGGCACCCACTCACTTTCCCCCAGGGATGAGATTCTGGACACACAGCGTCTGGCTCAGGGGGGGTGTCCTAGCCCCAAGGGGGGCAGGTGAGCAGGGGGCAGCCCCACCCTCCCAGGGGTATGGACCGCAGGCCACCCCAAGCTGCTATTCTACCCAGGCACTCAGGCACGGAGCCCAGGACTGGGCTGACAGCTCCACTGGCCATTGCCCAGGGTCCCAGCTGGTGTGCTACAGGCACTGGCCCCGCCTGGTCTGTGATAGCCACCTGACTCCTACCCAACTCACTGACCAAACATCTCCTATGAACTCAAATAAGACTCTCTGGTTCAGAAACCACAGAGCCTCCTTTCTCTGGGAAGGTTCAGTGTCCTTCCCATGGACCAACGCAGGCACCACTGCCCCACCCTACCCACAGGAGGAAGAGGAGAGTATGACCCCAAAAGATGTTTCTGAAATGTTTTGTGGTTGGCTAAAGTCCAGACAGGTTGAATAACTTTCCCAGAATCAAACAGCACATCAGATTCAGAGCAAGCAAAAAACCTCACCCATCAAGTCCACCCCAGCACTTCCCAGGACCAAGGTGGTGTGGGGGAGACTTAACCCCCCTTTTCTACATCCCCCTTCTCTCTAAGAAAGTGAGAAGCCTGGAGGCCCAGGGCAGTATCTGCTTGGTCCAAAGTGGAAATGTGGGATTGTAAACCATCCTCCTCTGTGGGCAATGCTGGGTTAAGATCTCCTCGCCTCTTAAGAACACTGTCCATTGAGGACTGCCCCCATGCCCTAGACTCACCCCCAGCTAGCTCCCAAGATCCCTGGAGAGAACCTGCAGCCAGCCAGTGCCTCCGGGGGAAGCCCAGCTCTTCCAGGAGATGCAGGGCAGCTGTGGGAGGAAACTCCTGGAAGGTTCCCCCCAGCAGTGCCTGAAGCCGCCCCTGGGGAGGGTCCTAGGGGTGCCAGGCAAAGGTGCCAGGCCCGGACACAAGCCCTGGGCACAGGGCATTTCTGCTGAGAGCTGGGGATTGAAGCAGGGCTAGCAAGTTCCTCAGCAACCCATGACCATACCCGACACTGCTCTGGGCCTGGTGGCCACCAACCAAGGACCAAGATCCCAACCACCCAGCTTTCCAGAGGGAAAGGGTTCTCCTCCCCTGCCCAGCCAGAGAAAGATTCCGGTATTCCCCAACTCTGTTCCCCAGAGCCAGGTGATTCCGGGAGACACATATTAGCTCATGTAAGTGATCACACTGTGTGGGCTGAAGTCAGCCCCAGAGATAGGGTCTCCAGGGAGCCAGGACCTGCAGGGCCAGAGATCTCCAACCTCCACTTTGTGAACTAAGATCCGCACAAACGCTGATTGCCCAAGCCTGGCTGGGCTCCGGAACAGCTGTCGTTCAAACACACCCCCTCCCTGCCAGCAACACTCGGCCCCCCACCGGCCCACTCCCGCAAGGGTCCTCAGGGTCCCGGGCGCCCTGCGGCATGAGGAAGAGCGGGTTACCTGCTTCCTGAGCGCTTCGAAGGCTGCGCTGATGGTGTGCACCCGCGTCCGCTCCCGGGCGTTCGCCAGGAGCCTCCGGGTCTGCTGCAGGGCTTTGATCTCCGAGGAGGCGGCGGTCGCTTCGCCCGGCCGTTTCCTAGGCGACGCAGAAGAATCTGGGTGGTTATTGTAAATTACGTGTGAAATTGTCGAGTAGGAACTTTCCCCCGGGCGCGTGGGGGGCGCAGGACGCACCGAGGAGTCCGCGGGCGCCGAGGGCACTGGGGGCGCTGGGGGTGCAGACAGTGCCGGGCGCGCAGGAGGTGCGCACAACAAGATGCGGGGACGCAGGCCGGGCTCCCGAAAAGGCTGTGCCTCGGGACCCCCAAGTGCCTGGCCCTGGGGTGCTGGAGGCGGCGGCGGCGTGGGGAGTCCCGGCCCCACTGCGCCCAGAGCGAAGCCGCGTTTCCGCGCGTCAGAGACCTCCGGCGCTCGGGCGCCCCCGCGGTCCCCTCCAGTATCCGCGCCCCCACCTGGGGGAACAGCCGGCGCCACTGGGGCTGGCACCGGGGCAGAGACCGGGACGGGCTGTAGCCTCTGGGTCCTGTCCCGAAGCCCGAGGGTGGCGGCGGCGCGAGGCTCGGGAGCTTCCAAGTCCAATCGGAAAGTTTTACAGCCATTCGCGCGCCGCGCCGGCTCCTTGCCTTTCCGCTTCAGCTTCTTGAGGCCGTTCAGCTCCTTCACGCACACTGTCTTCCACGGCCCGTCCTCGAGGACCGGGATGTGCTTCATGGTGCGGACAGCGAGCGAGACAGCGGCGTGGGGTGCCCGGGACGCGCGCCCGCTGCGCTCGCCTGCACGCCGCGCGGCTCTGCCCGGCGCCGCTCCGGGCCGCGGAGTCGGTCGCGCTCCCCTCCCCCGCCCCCGCCCCCGCCCCCTCGCCGGGCAGCTGCGCCGCCGGCTCCGCGGGGCCGCCGCGCCGTGCGCTCCCGAGCGCTCGGGGTGTCCTCCCGAGCCGCTGCCGCCTGGCCGGCCTTCTGCGGAACGCCCGCTGCGCTCCGTCTGTGTTTGTTTAGCCTCGGTTTATACAGAAGCCAGTTCGCGAGATCAGTGAGCGCCGCCCGGAGAGGAGGCAGCTCCCGCCGCCGCCCCAGCCCGCCGCCGGGCCGCGAGCGCCTCTAAAGAAACAGGAAGCATTTTTCAAAACAGCTGGGCTGCCGGCCGCCTCCTTTGTCCGCGCGCTCTCGGCCTCCCCCACCCCAGCCCTCCTGCCAGACCTGCCTCCCTCGGCGCGCCCTCCCTGCCCCCGCCCCGGGCGGGCGCTCCCCTCGTCCCGGAGGCTCCCGCACAACTACCCGGAGCACGTGGTCCTTCCCCAGGCCACCGCAGGGCTTCGCCACCCTGCGGCGCTGGCCTCGCGGTGACCGAGACGCAGCACCGACCCTCCCCACGCAGCATCCACCTCCCGCTGAACTTCAAGGGCGTCACTCTGGAGGGAGGGAGGGAGAGGGCTCCGGCGTTGCCAACGACCCCTCCCCACAGCGACCCCTCCGCCCTCCCACTTGCGAGAGCAGGGGAGCCAGCAGGGCAGAGGCCGAGGCATTGGGAAACCGAGGCCCAGAACGGCACGGGAATCGGGGAGAGGGGGGGAAGCTTGGCTCTGGCCCCCTAGGGTTGGAGAGAATCTGAAGAGCTCTCACCCCGTTCCTGCTGCACCCAGGTCTACTCCTCTGCAAGGAGTGACTGGAGAGCACCCAAGTCTGTGGCCACCATGCTGTGCCGAGGTAAAGCCCCAGGAGGCGCTACCTAGGTGATAGCTCTGGTAGGTGTGTTGGTCCTTACTAATAACGGGCAGATTTCCTGGGCTTAAACCCCAGCCCTACCACCTAACCGAGTGACCTTGGGAGAGCCACTTGACCTCTCTGTGCCTCCCTCTTCCTATCCATAGTCAGGGGTCACAGTTGCACTTGGTGTTGAGCATGTACATGCGGAGCAGGCAGCAGAGCCTGGCACCAGGTGAGCCTCACACATGCCCTGCAAGGGGCAGACGTCAACCTCCCAGAACCCCAAGCCCCCACTAAGAAGAAATCAAACTGGGGGACCCTCACAAGGCACACCAGAAGCCGTCTCCTCACTGTGTCCTGCAGGACCAGCACAGGGCTCTCCCCTTGCTGGTCCTTTCTCTGGGCCGCTTCCTTCTGTAGGCAGCTGGGTTTGGGAAGAGACAGACAGGGTGTGCTCCATCCTCGGGAGGATGCTGGGGGTGGGAGGTAGACAGCAGGGGGACACAGCTAATGGGTCCTGCATGTGCCAGGGCCTGGGCAGGTTTGGAGGCAAGACCATGGAGCTGGACCAAGACCCAGGCCAGGCCTTGCTTCTTTCACATGAGCCATGACCAAGCAGGGCGTTTCTTTCAGAGGCCCTTCTGCCTCTGAAGACCTTATTTCTGCAAAGCCGAGCTCTCAGGGTAGCTGGGAGAGAAGCCACATCAAGGCAAGGCGACTTTCACATGAGCCTTGGAACACAGGCTGTTGCCCATGGTTTCTTTCTACTCGCATCACACCCCATGCGTCCGGGAGGCACCCTTTCCCTGGACACCCACATCTTCCTGCACCTCCGGTCTGTCCCAGGGAGGAGTTCTCACCCCTGCTGTTTCCAACCTTTGCTACCGGAGTGCTCTGGCCTTTGGTGAGGGCTCCTTGCCCCCTCCTCCTGCACATCCTTCCTTGCTGCCCTTGCTGGCCTCTGTAAGGCTTGCTCATGAGTGTGTCTGTCACTTTCCCTGCTCTGCAAAACTGCTGGATTCCTGCTGGGAGCCCTGTTGTGGCAGGTCTTTTTTTCTCCCTGTCTCTAAGAGTAGGTGCCTGGGAAACCTAAAAGACAAGCCCGCACTGTGTCCTCACTCTCCTCTGTCTGGAGAGCCAAATTCCAGCTTGCGCTTTCCCTGTTCATTCAGCCACACAGCACACATAGGAGAAGCCAAGCCCCCTTTCCAGAGCCACTGAGGTCCTCTCTGAGCCTCAGCTTCCTTCTCTGTCGATGTGGACCATGATAGAGTGCCCTGCAGAGCTAGTATAAGGACTAAATGAGGCCATGAGGACAGCATTTAGACGGTGTCTGAGGTCAAGTGCAGGTGGCCGGATGTGTCCTGGGTTGGTGCAGCAGTCCAGGCCCCTTGCAGCCCAGACTTGGGGTGCAGTTATAGACTGGAACGCCCCAGCTCTTTGGGGCGTGTGTGAGAAACTTTCCTAAGACTGGATACCATTCCTCGAGAGGCCAGCCATGTTCAGGAAAATCCCATCTCGGTTGACTGAGGGCTCCACCCAAGCTCCTTTCTAACTCCCCCCAGAAGGAAATGACAGTGGCCTCCAGAGGCCAGAAGGAGGGGATAGGATGGCCAGCCATGCTGGGCAGGGGGAGAGGGGGCTCTGGCCCCTCCACCTGCCACCCCTCTGCTGGTCAATTGTAGGCCCAGGGGAGCCTGGCGAGGTCCTCACTCCCCCTTGCCAGTTGTGAGGCTGTGCAGCCTGGCCTCTCTGCACCGCCTTTTGTCTGGGTGTTGTCCCCTTAGTCATGAGGTATGTGAGGGAACAGGGACAAGGGCAGATGGCCCAGCTGACGGGAAGGGCCCTGTCATTGCCACTCTCGCCTGCAGGGACACACCCCTCCAGGTGCCCTTAGCTCTGCTCACACCTGCAGCAAGCTCAGCCTGGCCCCTCCCTTAGCAGCAGATTCTGCCTCTCTCTGCCTCCTTGAGAAATGGAGCTGCGCCCCCTGGTGGTGGGTGCTGTGGGACCGCACACACTGTTGTCCCCACTGGGAGCCTTTTGCTGGTTCTGGACCCAGGGGTGGCCCTGTAGTGATATGGATTCACAAACTCGTAGAACTGCAGGATAAAGTGGCTCCAAGGCTCCTGGTGGCCCCCTAGGCCTCTGGATGGTACAATGCAGACACCCTAAGAAAACCTATGCCCTTCATTAAGGTGTTCCCCAGTGAATTAGTTTTTTGCAGTTACTCTGAAGAACACAGTGGTATCACCACTGGAAGATTCCGTGTCCCCTAGACACTGGCCCAGGGAAAAGGAATGAATCAAGAACAGGAAGGGAGCTAAAGTCTGTGTGCCTAGCCCCCGCAGCGTTGCTAGAAGCCAGTCGCTAGCCATCGCTGCCAGGCGGGGAGGGAGGCCGGCTCTCTCTCATCCTCGGGGCCACCAGGGCAACCCACTCTACAGACAGGACAACTGCATCTCCTAGAGAAAAAAGCACCCACAGAGAGAAAGTGACAGAAACAAGGTTTGGACCCAGAACAAAGCCCAAGCCCAGGCTTTGAACCCTTATGCTTCCCTGTCTCCCAAGAACCCAGCAAGGGCCACCTGTGGGCTGGCCTCTTTGGCTGCAATCCTGGGTGGGCTTCTTGCTGTCAGGTCTCTATCGAAGCCACTAGCCAGCCCAGTGCCTCTCTGGCTCTCTCCAGGTCAGCCTCAGATGTCAGGGCACCCAGGACAGTTGGCTTCTCAGGCACATGGAGCCTGGGTCTTAGCCTCTAGATGCCAGTGCCCTCCCTGTGCTGCAGGGTGGAACTGGACACACCCCAGGAACCAGGACAGCTCCCCATGGCATCCTGGGACCACCGTCTCCTTGGCTGGGTGGATGAACCTCAAGGACTTGCTCCGTGAAGCTTTGCGTCCTCCATCCAACCTCTGTTTCAGGCTGTTCAGATGGATCCAGAATGGGTGTCCACTAGAGAAGGCCCGAGGAGTGGGATAGAGGCAGGGGGGCTCTCCCTGGGAGCTGTGCTCAGACAGCCTCAGGAGTGAGGAGGAAGGAGCCCGTTGACCTGGTGGGGCCTGAAGTGCCACCCTCCTCCTGCCCAGGCCAGCACTGCCACTAGCCAGCAGGACCCTGCATCTCAGGATGAGACCATCCAGGCTTGCTCTCCAGCCTTCCCTCTCCTTCACCCAAGTGGCCATCCCCATGGGAATGGCCATCCCCATCTGCATGGGAAATCAAGTCCCAGGGCTGGGACAGAGGCTGAGTGAGGGGCCTGCAGGAGGGAGGGAGGGAGCCCTGGTGCCTCCTCCCTGAGACTGCTGGGTCGACCATGAGCATGTGCTGTGCCCTTGGAGGAGCAGGTCCCCGGGTAGGGGCGGTACCTGGGGTGGGGCTCCATCCCAATCGGCCATCAAGAGGTCAGCAAGTGTCGGGAGGAGGCCCAGTGACTTCTCCACGCAGTTGGCTGGGGTCCTGTCACTCCTCTGATGACGCCTCCCAGGGACTCGCTCCTCTCAGCAGTGGCAGGAGCTGCCAGGGACTCCTCGCCTCCTTGCATGTGTGGGAGGAGGGACAGTGACTCCGGGATCCCTACAGCTGCCTCAGCCAGTGGGGCCTGTGGAAGTCGGTCCTGCCCCAGTGTCCTGCCGGCTGGAGCTCAGCTACCATGTGAGGGTCCAGGGGAGGCTGCTGGAGAGAGCGGCCAGGTGGAGGACCGTGAGCTGGACACGTCTCCAATGTCTCCTGGCCTGATGATTGAGCAGGGCAGAGGGCTCAATGCACAGTCACTCGTGGGTCGGACGGATCTCATCAGGCCAGAGGGGCTGGTCAGCGTGAGCTTCCTGCCACCGGGAGCCACCTGGGAAGGACAGGCAGTTCCCACCCCTTCCTCATGCGCCGTGACTCTTCAGTACCACTCGCAGAACACCTGCTGACACAGGGGACAAGCGGTGAACAGAGTGAGCCCTGCCCTGGTGGAGCGGGCATTCTGGTAGGAGAAGACCCGGACGGAGCCCACCTCCAGGAGGTGCAAGTCCCCTCAGAAGGACAACACACGCCCAACCTTGTGCAGAGTGAGAGGTGCCACAGGAGGGATGTGGGGCCAGCATGCAGCAGAACAGTTCTG